GGGGAGACAGAGCTCTCTGGTGTCTCTTCTTTTTTTCTTTTTTTTTTGACCGGTAAGGGGATCGCAACCCTCGGCATGGTGTGGTCTGCACCATGCTCAGCCAGTGAGCGCACCGGCCATCCCTATATAGGCTACCAGCGCCGCACTCTCCTGAGTGAGCCACGGGGCCGGCCCTAGTGTCCCTTCTTATAAGGGCACTAATGCCATCATGAGTGCCCCACCCTCATGACCTCATCTAATGTTCTCCCAAAGTCCGCATCTCCAAAACATTGGAGGTTAGGGCTTCAACATATTGACTGGGGGTGCAGACACAACTCAGCCCATAGCAATCAGACTTCTCTCTCTTAACAGCTGCCCCTCCACTCGGAACCCATCTGTGATCTTAGTGAGAAGGAGATGATCAGGTTCCCATTTTTGTTGGACAGAGCCCACTTCAGCAGGAGGGTGCAGGGCTGGGAATATAGTGGGATGCAGACAACCCTTGAGTGTGTATGGTTGGGGGAGGAACAAACTGAGTGTTTCTGCCTGAGGCCAGCTCCCACCCACCGGGTGCCAGGCCTGAGTCACCCGGCCTTCTCTGCTTCTTCCCCCTGCAGGTCACCATGATGGGATTAGAACTTTCTCCTCCAGTCACTTTTCAGCTCCGGGCTGGCTCGGGACCTGTGTTCCTCAGTGGCCAGGAATGTCATGGTGAGTCCAAGCTTGGACACGGAAGAGATCTAAGAGTACAATGCTTAGCACAGGGCCAGGGATGCTCTGAGAACTCAAACACTTGAGGGATTCTTGAATTTGAGAAAATCCCGAGGGCAACATGATTGCCAGTAGCCTGGACTAGAAGGCCCCGGGCAGGGGTCCTGGCCCTAGTTCTTGACCTCCCTGCCATGTCCTCGGGGGGCCTCAGCCCCTCCCCCATAACATGAGATTGGGGCTATACTTGGCTTCATCTTCAAAGAGTGGTTGTGAAGAATAAATGATCCCTGGACTGGCCAGACATCAAAATAGTAATAATAATACATGAGATATTCAAGCAAAGCACTTAACGTACTACCTCGTATGAGGGAGCATTTAATCACTGGCTGCTATTAAGAATTTGGCTGTCAAAGTAACATGGACCATAGCAATTGGCATGATGCTGACCCCTCTGAGATTGTTTTAACTAACCTCTTCTCTGTGCAGTGTGCCTCTTTCAGCAGGATACTCTTGCTCAAAAGCCCTGGACAGGTCCCTCTTCCCTTAAGATAAGGTCTGAATTCCTCAGCTGCCTGTATTAACCTCCTCTCCACCATCTCCCTCCCCTCCCCACTCTGCCCACCTTCAGCCCACCCCTTCCCAGTGTGAACTCTCCTCCCCAGCCAGAACCACTTCCCTGCCATCTTTCTACCACCCTAGCCCTGTGTGGATCCCTCCCAGATCCTGGCCCCACTCTGTCAGGGAGGCCAGAAAGGGTACGGCCCTTCCCAGGCAGTGAGAGGGTGCTGAGACTCCCTCAGGGTGATGCTGGGCGCAAACCCAATCATGGAGCGAGAGACAGCCATCACCCCTGTAGCTCAGGAGTTCTGCTTGCCACTCACCCCCACCCCACCCCTGCCCGCTTTCCCATGCCATCCCAGAAACATCAGACCTGCCCTGGGAGGAGGAGGAGGAGGAGGAAGAGGCAGAGGCAGAGGAGGAAGAGGAGGAAGAGGACGATGAAGATGATGAAGTGTCTCTAGAGGAGGAGTCCCCCGTTAAACCAGTCAAAAGGCCGGCGCCCCAGAAGCAGACGAGCGCTGCTAAGGTGGGAAAGGAACCTGGCTGCTTTAAATGAGGTGGTGACCCTGCAGAGGCACCTCACGGGGACTGGGCACCAGCAACCTGGCCGAGCCTCCCAAGTTGAGTGTACGGGACAGGCCCAGGCCACTGCGGCCAAGTCCTGCCAGTGCTCAGCCTGGGACCTCACCCTAACTCTCCTAATGATGCTTGTTTTTGGTTCCCAGAAAAAAAAGCTGGAAAAAGAGGAGGAGGCAATGAGGTAACTCTTTCCATCTATTAAATTAGCCAAAAACTTTTCACTGAGGTTTACAGGGCTAGAAAGAATATGGTACAATTGGTGTGCATATGTGCACACAGGCACACCTGCACAGGGGCACACAGGTGCAACAGCACTAGAGTTTGGCATAACCTTTTCAAAAAGCATTAAGATTTTTTAAAAAATGTTTCTTATCTTCTGACCTAATCCAAATAAGGAAATTTCTTCCAAAGAATACTGTACAAGGCTAGCTGGTTAGCTCAGTTGGTTACAGCTTGGAGCTGAGAACACCAAGGTCCAGGATTTGATCCCTGTACTGGCCAGCTGCCAAAAAGAAAAAAAAAGAAAGAAAAAAAAAACCATCCAAAGTATAAGGAAAAATATATGCACTAAGAAACTTCTCAACACTAATGATAAATGTCTGTGGTGATGGATTGCTAATTACTCTGATTTGTTCATTACACATATACGTGCATCAAAATGTCACTGTACCCATAAGTATGTACAATTACTACATGTCAAAACTTATCACCATATAATTCAAATAATCATGAAAATGGAAGCATTCTAAATGTCTACCAATATAATAATTGGCAAAACTATGTTATAGCTTCTCTATGAAATAATGCATAACACTTATGAGGAATATAGCAACCTGGAGAGTGTTGATAGAATACCAGATCTTCATTTTATTTCACATATTTTTAGAAGATTGATTCCTCCCCCCCCCCCAAAAAAAGGAAATAGACCAAAATGTTAATACTGGTGGGAGGTAAAGAAAATTATAAGTAATTTATTCTCTTTACTATTTGCTATATTTTGTACAATATGGTGAACATTAATTTTATAATGAAAAAGATATTTGTGAAATATAAAAGAGTCGGTAGAAATCTAAAAAGAAAAAAAACACCTTGTTTAAAAAGTCCAAGTGGTCCCTGGTAGGTGACCAGGTAGAGAGATGGATTCCATAGCCTCCATCTGTCCTGGCTGTGCCCCCTGCTTCCTGGAACTATCCGGGACTCAGCATACAAGCTGTTGGCATCAAGCTGAGCTCTCTTTCCCCACCCATGTCCCTACTTCTTGCCCAACCCCACCCTATTCTAGATCCAGTCTTAAAGAGAAGAGCCCCGTGAGAAAGGTGAGTACTTACCAGAAGTGGCTGCTCCTCGTGGGAGAGGCAGGTGGTCTTTGGGGAGGGTGCCCAGGCTGGGGAAGGGAGTGGGAGACTGGCGCTCCCCTTCTCTCCACAGGCCAAACCCCCCCTCAAACCTAAGAAGCTGGGACCCAAGAAATGAGCCAGGAATGGCCTGGCCGCAGTGACCGAGGGAGGGTCCACGAAACCACCGTGCACAGTGGGCCTTCCTCGGGCTGTGCCGCAGTCACAATGTGCCTCCCACCCAACACAAGAGCCCCTCACCCCCAACTCCCTGGCTTCAGGAAGCCTTGGAGAGAAGAGCACAACCTCAGGGCCACAATAAAGGTTGCTTTTGTCAGGACTTTCCTCTCTTCCTGGAGCCATCCTCCTGGCCAGCTGCGCCAGCTGCACCAGCTGATGTGCCCAGCAGAGGGCGGCCGTGAACCAGCACGCCTGATGGGAGGCTCCCCTGCCTCCCCGCACCCAGCCCTACGGCCCCAGCAGGGCTCTGCCCTGTCCCTCTGCCTTCCTCTCTCCTCCTGGCATCCACACGCCCAGCTTTGAGGGAAGAACTGAGCATCAGCCTCTTGCCCAGCTTCAGCCTCTGCTGAGCTGCTTGTCACTTGAGTCTTCCAGCCTCCACACTTCTTTTGGGCAGAGCCTAGGTTGCCAGGGACAGAACTTAAGGCCTACAACTAGGGAACCACCCGAGGGTCTTCTCTCCCTGCCCTGCTCATGCATGTCAGGCAGTTGTCAACGTGCCGAGTGTCCAGTGGGACCGCGGGGCACCTGCCCTGCAAGACTTAATTCTGTGAGGGGCTTGCTCCTGCTAACAGGGACCTCTCACATGCAAGGACCTGTGTCTTTACAGGCATGCTGAGCCCCACGTGCCACTTGAGCAGGGCTCCAGCAAGTGTTACAGCAAGCTATAGAGGACTGGAGAAGTGGGTGGAGGACCCACTGCATGGTTCTGGTCCCCTGCCCCTCCCAGGCCTGCACAAGTGGCTTTGGGGCCCTCTTCACCCGCTGGTGACCCTGGCTTAGTCCCTGAAGCATGCAGACACACAGCTGGCCGCCACTTGCAGGACCTCTGCTCGGCTTCTCCCTGGCACCCCCACAGGCCAGTTCTGAAGCGAGCCGGGGGAGCTGCCCTGCCCGTCACCCCCAAGTTTGATCCCCTGGAGGTCGGAAGGCTTTGAACACCTTCAGGGGAAGATCAGCAACCAGGTTGTGGCCACCTGCTCAGCTCTGAGGCCAGAGACAGAGGAGGTAGAAGAGGGCAAGGGTGGTATCCTTGCTGCTCATTTTCTACCCCGTTGTACGGGTGTGGGCGCTGTCCCACCCTCTAACCTGAACAAGTTGTTACCCTACAGTCACCCAGAGAGGACAAGGGGTGCTCCAGGTGGGTGGCTGGTGTTTACTGAGCATGGTCTCTGCACAGCGATGTGGGATAGACAAACCCATTTCTCACCTTCCAGTTGCTTAGTCTAAAACACAAAAGCCAGCAACACACTCCCGAAGTGCTACATGAGGGGAGCAGAGAGCAAAGGGCCTGAGGCCGGGAGGAGCCGGGAGGGCCGGGACAGAAAGAAGGCTGATGGGACTGAGCAGACACCGCTCACACACTCGTGTGAACTGGGTACTGCTGTAAGCGCGTTCCACAGACTCATGCCTTTAATCCCCACACCCTGGGGCGGTGGGGGGTCATTAGCCCCATTTCTCAGATGAAGAAAGTGAGGCACACAGAGGTTAAACAGTTTGCCTCAAGGTCATGTCTGGCAGAGCCTGGTCCTAGAGCCCTTGCTTTTGAGGGCTCTGATAAAGTGGGGCACGGGGGTGGTGAGCCCACCAAGCAAGGGCAGTCCTCAAGGGACTCTCTCTAGCCACCCACATACCACACATGAGGGCACTCAACAGGTAAACCTGTGATCGCCTGATCTTTGAATTTTAACTTTCAGGAAGGCAGTAGGAATCAAATAGCAAAGATGGGGTCCGTCTGCATCGGCAGGGTGCCCTTTGCCCTCCCCCTTCCTCTGCCCTAACTCTTCTGCTTTTAAACAGGAAAAGGGTGGGCTCTGGGGCAGAAGCAGGTGGTGACAAGTGGCAGGTCTGCAGGTGGGCTCTGTTTGCACCAGCTGGGCTGTTAGGAGGAGCAGGCGTGAGACGGCCCCAGCTGGGGGGTGTTGAACTTGGCACTAGGGGGTGGAGATTAACCACAGCAGCCCAGGCGCTTTTCACGTCCCTTATCACCTCCTGCAACTCCCCGCCCCCAACAAATGATAATGAATCATGCCCCCCCTTCCTCGCACCTACCCCCAGCTCATTCTAATCAAGGGAGAAAGTCTGCCAAAGTGTAGGTAAACTGAGGTTGAGCCACACAGAGGGTCCCTGCACTTTCCCCCATTCTTGGGGGCACTTGATACTTTTCAGCAAGTCCTTTATCACAGCTGACACTCATGATGGCAGTTTTGACAGCATCGATGATAGTAGCCATTCCCCCTCTATAAACCGGGAACGTGAGGCCAGAAAAGTGAAGGGACTTGCCACAGGTCGCACAGCCTGTAAGGACCAGGGCAAAGCATGGAGATAAAATGCGGAGTCCAAGCCTAGCGTGGCCCCCACCCTGCCTCCCCACTTGGGGCCCACCTCTGGCCTTCCCATGGGTGCAAACAAGCAAACCAAGTCATAAAGCCAGGCCTGCAGGTGTAGAATGGGAAGGGACAAGGAGCCAAAAATGTCCCACCTGTGAAACAGGCTACCCAACCACGCCCCAGAGCCCCCTGGCACCAGCTCCCTGGCTGAGCCCCAAGGCCGAGCTTGCTGGCTGGCATGTTACCATGGACACCTAGGCTGGGCTGTGACAGCAGACCCTGTCCCTACCGATAGGAACCAGGTGCTCAGGCTCAGAGGCCTTGAGCAGCTCCCACTGTCCCAGTGGCTGATGAGCTCAGCACAAGGCAGAACCCTCACACCTGCCTTCAGTCCCCCCACTGATACCTCCATCAAGGAGCCCAGCCTGACCTGAGCTGTCCCCTCCAGGAGTCTGGGCTTTCTGACCTTTAACACCCAGCCTGGGAGCTGGGAGCTGGTGGGATGTGGGTGGGAGATTAAAGGTTTCCCAGAGAATAGAGCCAGAACTGATCAGAGGAGAGGTGGTGTTGGGGATGTTTCCGTGGAAGAAGCAGAGTTTAAACCGGGCCTGAAGTGGTGGGAAGAATGTGTGGAACATAGAAATGACCCGGAGGATGACAGGAGCAAAAGCAAGAGATAGGACAGGCTGGGGTGTGCTGGGAGGAGCGAGCACTGAGCTGGGCACCTAATGCATTGTCCCAGCCGTGCCGCTGACTAGCTGGAGACTCTGGGCAGGTCCTTTGCCTCTCTGGGTCTCATCTTCGGAAAGAGGATGCTGAACCTGATGATGGGTCTCTGAGATCCCTTCTGGTTTTAACATCCTTTGAGTTTGATTCCAAAACCCTGGACTTGCCCAACTATGCAAGACCGGGGCATACACCTCCCTCTTTCAGCCAGCTCAGGCTCAGCTCACCCTTGGGCCCCTGTGCAGCCCTTTGAGCCTGGGGAGGGGAGGGCAGAGCTGAATAGAGGCCCCCCACCCCCAGAGGCGTCTGGTCTGTGCTTGTTTGTGTGTGTGCCCAGGAGCAGCAGACCACTTTGTGGATTGATCCAGCTCAGGAAGGTGAGAAGGAGCCTGGGGGTGAGAGTTCCCCCCTCCCAGGCTTCTATTTAGGTAAATAAATCCACATCCTGCTTTTCCCTTCTCTTCCCATCCTCGAGGCACTAAGAACTCCAGGGAGCCCAGAGCTGAGGCCTGAGCTCAGCTTCCTTAGACTGGGCTTCCCTCAGAGATCTATAAGCACCCCGCTTCTGAAGTCCCCATCACCCTCCTTTCTGTGGGAAGGGAACAGAATAAGCTCCTTGGTCACCAGCTTCCAGGACCTCGGATATCACCTTTACTCCTGCAAATCCAGGAAGGCTTCTGAGCCCCTACAAGAAAGCCTGTGTGGAGTTGAGGCCTGGAGGGCGTGGACACCATCCATGCAGAATAGAAAGAGCATGGGCTTTGGAAACCTGGTTACCCCACTCACTAGCTGGGTCATTGTAAGCAAATTATCTACCACTGTGCCTCAGTTTCCTCATCTGCAAAATGGAGTAATAGTTGGCATGATACAGACCAGTGTGGAACTGGAGGGCATATGAAGAGGCTGGTGGGCATGACAGCCCAGGCAGCTGTCAGGGGGCACGGAGAGGAGGCCCGGAGCTCCTCCCAGCTCCTAGAAGCTCTGGAATGGCCTCTGCAAGGGTGGGCGGATGGTGGTGGTGAGTGGGGCTGGGCCTTAGCCCAGGGCAAGGTCCAGAACATTGTACACTTTGAAGACTGTTACATGCTCTTATTTGGTCCCCCAACCTGAGGCATCACTGTCCCCATTTCTCAGAGGAAACTGCAGAGGCCCATAGAAAAGTGGCTTGCGCCAGCGCACCCAGCTCTTCACGTCTCCATCCCAGGCCAGCTTTCTCAGCTCCACTGGGGTCCTTCCGAGACACCCAGCTGAACCTTCCTCCCCTCCTCTGGCCCCCAACCTGTTGCACCCGCTATTTGCTGCCAGTTGGGACAGCCTTAACCCTTCCTTCCCAGTGGCAAGGGGTGACAGAAAAGCAGTGCAAGCAGCTGCTGCAGGCCAAGCCCACCCCCTGCCCCCTGGAGGGAGACTCCTCCTTCTAAGGCTGCTTCTGGGAATTTCCAACCTGGAGCCAGAACCTGCAACCCCAGCCCCGGTTTGATACCTACAGCTCAGCCTTGGTGAGATGGGGTGCCACACCTGACGGGAGGAGAGACTGACCCTGAGAGGGAAGGAAGCGTCCTCCCTCGCCCTGCCAGCCACAAGCCCAGCACCAAGTCTGGCTGGGTCCGTGAGGGTCAGGAATAAAGCAGGAGACCACAGGGCCCGGCCTCCTTATCTAGAAAGCTCCATTGCTGCACCTGGGTAGCCCAGCGAGAGGCTGGCAGCCCAGAGGGCACCAGCACACAGGCCCCCACCAGCGTCTGCTTTGCAGCCTCACTGGCCGGGAAGGTGGACACCTCACACCTCAGTCTCCCAATTACGCCCTCCTCCCCTTCCTCCTCCCCCTTCTCCCCCCTCTTCTCTCTCCTTCTCCTCCCCTCTCTCTCCTCCTCTCCCCCCTGAAAACCTGTGGCTCACTCGGTAGACCTTGGCTTCTCTGGGACTCTACCCCTGGGGACTGCCCATATCTGCTCCTGAGTTTGGGGGCAGGGGGGCAACTGCCTCAAGAAGTCTGTCCAGCGATGGGAGCCTCCCGCCTGCTCCCCAACCTCATTCTGTAAGTGTGCTGCCTTGGGGACTGGAGTTTCGTTGCCATTTCCAGCCTCGGGGCAGACCTAATCTTCCCGGGACTCCCACACGGGCTGGCCTGGGGGGCGGGGGGGGCGGGGGCCTGGGTGCGCACCCTGGGCTGGCCACCGCACCCACTCCTGGCTCTGCCTCGTCTCCCCTCACAGGTGTCTGCCGCTGTTGATGCTCTGCTGTCAAACTCAGGTAGGCGGGCGCCCCCCACCAGCTTTTCCCCATCTTTCCCACTGCACCTAACGGGGGTGGGGCAGTCTCCTTTCCGGTGAACAGAGGCAGGTTCTGGCCTCTCCCGGGTCCAGGAGGCACTGAGGTTTCAGGGGGAAGGGGAGGGAAGTTCTATGGAAGATTTGGGGACTGCCTGAGGTTTTTATCTCAGTCTTCCCTCTGATGGTCCCCCCTCATTCCCCTGGATCTCGACTTCTCTATTTCTACACACTGGGCTCCCCAGTGCAGGGCATTTGAGACTTGAGGGATGGAGTCTTGGGAATGAGGTGGAGGTGATGCTCAGGTGAGGCTTGAGCTTGCAAGCACCTAAAAGGGCAGGCTTGGGTGCAAAGCCACTTGTACATTCCACTTACCACCCACTCCCACCAACACAGATGTCCTGGGGGGGTCTCATGGACACAGTCAGAATGCCCAGCCAGGGTGGGGTGACTCCTCACCTATAGGGCAACAGGTCAAGCCCAAAGAGGTTTGTTTGGGACAGGATTCAGGGTTTGCTTCTCCACATTCCCCCCACCCCACGTCAGCCCTCCATCCCACCCCCCAAGTCTCAGCCCCCTTTGCGAGCTTGTGATCCTCCATAAAAGTGCAGCTATTAAAATGCACTGGTCCAGAACCGCTCTGGGGAGAGATCGCTTGGCTTTCCCAGGCCAGAGGCCCACTTCTCTTCATATCCAGTGGGGACTTTTTTTGAAGGTAAATGCCTTTTCTCCGGGAGAGGGAAAGGGGCTGCCTTTGAAGCAGTGGGGGGGTGGGAGAGAGAGAGGCAACTCTCCCCTTTTTCCTGCCCCCTTTCGCTCTAGCCCTAGCCCCCCGTTCCAGGCCCTTTGCTTCACACATCCAGAGAGAGCAAGAAGAAAGCCCCTAGCCTGGCCGGGAGGGGGCTGGGGGTGGGCCCAACCTGTTCTGGAAGGGGAATTAGCACAATGGTGTGGCTGGCCTGGGCGTTTATGGCCGGGCGGAGGCCCCATTCAGGACTCTGGGGAAGGTGGCAAAGCTGTCCTTTCCCCCTTGAAGTGCCCCCTCGCCCCCCTGGGAGGGGGGGCCGGCAGGCCGGACCACAGCCATGCTTGAGGGGCCGTCTGACAAGCAGCTGTCTGCGGAGGTGGAAGGGGAGGTCCCCCCACAGCGGGAACATGAAAGGGACAGGCAAGGTCCCGCGGGGAGAGGGACTTGAGGGCTGTGGGCTGTGGGGGGACGTGGGGCTGCTTTTGTGAAAGGCTTGAAGGGGGACAAGGAGAGGAGGGGGCTTCGGGGGGGCCCCTCTCGGCTCCTGACCTGGAACAGACTGCCAGAAGGAGGCTGCCCGCCAAGAGGGGCGGAGGGCCTGAACCTGGGCCAGGAGCCTCTAGGCTGCTGCGACAGGCAAGAACCCCATGCCCCAGCAGGAAGGCCAAAGAGGGGCAGGCTGGGCCAATCCCCCACCCCAAATGGTGGCCTCAGGTTTTTCCAGGGTGGGGCGCAGGGTAGGTCCTGAAGACACTGCTTTCTTCCTGGGGTCCCGGCGACACTTGTGGCCTATGGGAGAACTGGAGTCAGATATGAGCAATGATGCATGTGAAGGGTTAACCCTGAGCAGGTTAAACTTGCCTCCGCTGGCCCTGCCCGGAGAGCTGCTCCTTCACCTCCCCCTTCCTCAAAGTGATATTTCCCACCCCGTCTCTAGGAGAGAGTGGCCCCTAACAGATGCTGATCTGGGTCTAGCTCTGTCCAGATGGTCAAGATTGGGCCTGGGATAAAGGTGGCATTAGGGATTTGGGGCCCAGGGCAGAAAAAGGGAAAGACTGTCCCAGGACGGGCCAGCAGGATACAGGTGGAGAGAAACAAAAACGAGGTGCATTTTTGAGCTAGAGAGGAAGATATTACCAGCAGCTGGAAACGTCATCCCAGTTGGTTCACACCTGGCAGGAACAGGAGGTAGTCTGTTTCTCTGCACTCTGGGTTGCACTTGGGTAAGGAGAGACCCAGCTTGGAGAAGTCCCCATCCTAGCTCTGTGTAGTGCGTGGGTGGAAATGGCTCCTCGCCCCACCCCACCAAGAAGCAGGTGGGCGAGCAGCATCACCCGTGACTGGCCGTCATGAGCCTCTGTTACATTGTGGCACAAGCAGGCAGCCTCGGCCTGCCAGGAGCAGCCATTGGGCCACTGCTGATAGCACCTTTCGCTACTGCCCCCGCCAACCTCGCTAAGGAGGCACCTTGCCACCCACCCACGGAGCCCGCAGAGCAGGGAGGAACTCTGGAAGGGAGGCTGGCTCTTCTGAGGGGGCGAGGCAGGGGAGATGGGCATGCTGTAAAGAAAGGCTCACGGGGGCCCTGCAGGAGCCTTAAAGAAAGAGCTCTCCTGTAACCCTAACTCAAAGCACCTAACAGACCATAGGCTCTGTGCATGTGTGTGCAGGGGTGGGGTCTCTCAAGGCCAGTGGGGACGACTAAGAAGTATGGGTGTCCTTGCTAATGCAGCCAACCCTGGGGTTCTCGGAGGGGCAAGCTCCATTCTGGCTCTAATGAGCTGTGTGCCCCTGCACACCTCCTCCACAGAACACAGGATGGGACACTATAACCCTCTAGGTCTGCGCTGCTGTATCGCTAAGTGTCCCCCATGCCTGGGCACCCACCAGTCCCCTGCTCCAGGGTGGACACAGAGCCAAGGGGTCATGACCAGCTCACCCAGTGGCCTGGGAAGGTCATGGCCATATGCCCCCTTCACCCTACACCCTCTACTCTGCAGGGCAGGTGGCCTGCCCTGCCCCCCCACTCTTACCAACTCACCTGTCTGCCCTGGATGGACCAATGGTGGTGTCACCCAAAGCAAATTGACACTATTTTTCCCTTGGTAACCGCAAAGGGGGAGAGTCACCCGTCTCCTAATTTTAACCAGTACGTGAGAGACCAGGGCGCCATGACTGACCAGCTGAGCAGGCGGCAGATCCGCGAGTACCAGCTCTACAGCCGGACCAGCGGCAAGCACGTGCAGGTCACCGGTCGTCGCATCTCCGCCACCGCTGAGGACGGCAACAAGTTTGGTGAGACCCGGCCCATGGCCCACAGCCTAGGCCACCCCCATCCCTGCCTGGCTCTGCCCCCAGTGCCATTCCCAGATCCTGTGTCAGGGCTGAGGGCCCCCTCACCCTAGTTTGGTGGTCGGGCTGGGGGAACCCCTGCCCTACCCGCTGCCAGCAGCCCCAATGGACGGAGGTCTTTCTCCCTTCCCCCCATCACAGCCAAACTCATAGTGGAGACCGACACATTTGGCAGCCGGGTGCGCATCAAGGGGGCTGAGAGTGAGAGGTACATCTGCATGAACAAGAGAGGCAAGCTCATCGGGAAGGTAAGGCCCAGGAGATGGCGAAGGTGATGAATGAATCAGTCCTATTGGGGGGGGGCACGCAGGGCCCCAACAGCATTGCACTGAGACTGGCCCACATGAGGAAGGACAGGGGCCTTGGGCAGGACTATGACTTCTTACTCTACTCTCAGCCCACCCATTCGGCCACTCCCTGGTTTCTGTATTTCAGTGAGTCCCCGGGGCTCTATAAGCCTTTGGAGGGGACTGATGAGCCACAAGGATCCTCAGCTCTGATTTAAGGAGTATTGCCCCAGCATCAATCAGTTGGAATTTTAGCACCTACATGATGTTGCTGTCCGTGTGGGGGGGGGCTGAGGGCTGATGAGGGTTGAAAGTTGGGGCATGTATCTAAGATAGAAGCTCACCCAAGTTCAGTGGGCCCATGGGCTCCAACTAGCGAGCTGCACCTGGAGCATAAGCCCTCTCTGCCTGGGTGGGCCCAGCACTGCTGGGCAGGAAGAACTCCATTTCCTTTGGAATCAGGCAATCCTGGCTTCCAATTCTGGCTGTTGCTCACCAAGGAACCTCTGGTTTGCTTATCTTTGGTCAAGCCTCAGACTTTTCCTCTGTGAACATGGGCATAGCCTCCAAGTTATCGACAGGGCCAGATGGGTTGCTGTCTGACACCCTCACTTTTTTTCACCAGACTGTTGCCTCCTCTCCCTCCACCCAGACTGAATGACAGCTCTCATGTACCAAGTGCCCCTGGGTATGCACCAAGCTGCACAATTACCTTGATCTTTATGCCACAGTTCAGGAAACTGAGGCTTAGCCTGGTTACATACCATGCTGAGGGTACAAGACTGCCAAACAACGAGCCTCTATTTAAGTTCAGATCTGACTTCCAACAAAGCTTGTTCATTTCTCCCACTGTTGCCTAACAAAGGTGCCATGTCACCAGGCAGAGTCCCTTGGGCTCACAGTCTCCGATGTTCCCTCCTCAGTCCTGCAAAATAGTCCCAAAGACAGATAACAGAGACAAGGTGGGTGGACAAATCCCCCTCCTCTTTTTCCTTCTCCCGTAGCCCAGCGGGAAGAGCAAAGACTGTGTGTTCACGGAGATTGTGCTGGAGAACAACTACACGGCCTTCCAGAATGCCAGGCACGAGGGCTGGTTCATGGCCTTCACGCGGCAGGGGCGGCCCCGCCAGGCCTCCCGCAGCCGCCAGAACCAGCGAGAGGCTCACTTCATCAAGCGCCTCTACCAGGGCCAGCTGCCCTTCCCCAACCACGCGGAGAGGCAGAAGCCATTCGAGTTCGTGGGCTCGGCCCCCACCCGCCGGACCAAGCGCACTCGGCGGCCCCAGTCACTCACGTAGTCAGGGAGGCAGGGGGCAGCTGCCCCTCTGCAGCCTTCCCATCCCCTTCCCTTCCCAATCCAAAGCCGGGGCTGGGGTGGAGGGAGGGGAGCCAGATCTCCCAAGGAGGACCCTAAGGACCTGGAAGAATCAGCGCCCCAGCTGGGAAGGGGCAGGACTGCGGCCACCAAGGGCTGGCACCACACTGGAATAGGCCCCTTCCGGGCCAGGGGGCAAACCCCCAGGAGAGGAACTGTAGTGTCGTTACCCCATCGCCAAGGCCAGCCACGGTGCCCTGAAGCAAGCGGAAACGTCAGCAGATTCCAGGCCTTGCAGACACCATCAAGAGGTGTCTCCCTCGGTCTGTCCTCAGCCCCCAAACTCCTCCTGGCCAGACTGTAGGAAGGGATTTGCGTTTTTGGTTTCAGGAAAAAGGAAAGCGGGGGTAAGAATAGGAAGGTTGGCCATTCCTCACATTACACGACCCAGGCCTGCGCCCCCACCCCCGACTCCCAGTCCCGGAATAAAACCAATTTCCTGCAAGCGGGTTATCTGAAGCGGGGTGGGAGATCCGACTGCGAAACCCCACTGGCAGCAAGTTGCTTGTCCAAGAGGCCCGAGAGGCGCCCGAGCTGGCTGTGCGTGCGAGAGAAGCGCCCAGCCTGGCCGGGATGGCCCTGGCAAGTGGCGGGGCCGGCGCTCGGGCCCTCCGGGTCCCGCAGGGGCCGAGGCCACTGACCGCCAGGAGGGGGAGCGGCGGGGCCGGGGCGGC